ACCGGCCTTCCCTGTGAGAGGAGCTGCGGCCGCAGCCTCGGCGCTGCCTGCACTCCCCGGGCGCCGGTGGCTTGGCCCTGCCAAGCGCAAAGGCGTGTGAGCCCCAGGCAGGGCCTGCTCCCAGCAGCCTGCGAGCCCCGCCGCCTGCCTGCCAGCCCCTGTTGTCAAGGGGGACTGGGGGGAGCCCGTTACCCCGGAGTGACACAGAGGGGCCCTGCTCACCGGCGCTGGCTTCCCCGCACTCCCTGGAGCAATGGGGACCCCCTGCCCTGAGCACCTCCCACTGGCAGCAGGCAGGGTGCTGGCCCTGGCAGAGCTCGAGAGGCTTTTTGGCATTTTGGACTGGCCTTGCCGGTGCTACCAGCAGCCCTGACACATCAACACCGCGCACACCTCTGCCACAGCTGCCATGGCAATAGCCTACATGCCAGTGCCTGCAAGGGACAGACGGTGTGGGCACACACGAGTGCTTGTTCGGGTCCTTGGTCCCACCTTGCGCCTCCTCCCATCACGGCCCAATGGCAGCCCCGGCACCCTCGGGTGCTGCAGAGCTCAGCGCTGGCACAGGGGTCCCTGCCCTGGCGTCCTGCACCGCCGGCGCTGCATCATGCCCGTCTTCAGAGCCGTGGCCAGCGACAAAGCAGCCGGGACGGCGTTGTGCTTGGGTATGTGGGAAACAAAACCTGGGCTCAGTTCAGTTTCCATCTTGGCCAAATGTGATGCACAAAGGCAGGTCTGTGCCAGCAGCTGCTGATGCTCCGTCTCCGCCGGAGCCTCCAGCACACGAACAGCCCTATTCGGAGGCTGGGATTTTCCACAGTATCCCCAGACATAGCGACATGCTGCAGTGTCCTGGTACACTCGCAGCAGTTCCCGTTTCTGCTGCAGATACTCAACAGTAGCGGCATGTGGCACGGCCGGCCCGGAGCCACCAGGCAAACCTGGTGGAAACAAACAGCTCTGGGAAAAGCCGTCCTGAAGAAGCAGCAGCCGGGACTAAGGGGGTGCCAGCCACCCCACGGGGTCCTGCTGCTGGGGTGACCACGCTCCAAAGGGACCGCAAGGTGCCAAATTGGGGAGGGGACGCCAGGCCAGGGGGAGAGCTTCTCATCACCACCACCCCACAGTACTGAGAGCCAAAAGGAGTTTGGCAGCAACATCCGCTACCAACAGCATCCTCTGGCCACCACTCCCTGCGAGGAGCATGGGCTGCAGCGAGCTCCCGTGTCCCACCAAAACCGCTCGCCCTCCAGCTTGCAAGGGACCGTGAGGAACCTGATGCAGCAGCCCGTCCTGCACACCTTGGTTCTCAGACCCCGTGCTCCCTGCTTGCCTCCAGCTCCCCTTCCCCACGAACTCCCGTGGCTCTCCCGCACACTCCGGTGCCCGGGGCAAGACATGGGGCAGCTTTGCAAGGGCTGGGGGACAAGCACATCCCCTCAGAGCCCCTCGGGCAGCTGTAGGGAGAGGGGCCCCACCAGGCACCCACATGCACCCGAGCACCGCACACCACCCTGGCACGGGGCGAGGGACACCCTGGGCAAGGTGATGGGCAACTCCAAAGGCCCTGGGATGGTCCGGGCTCACCGCGGCTCCTGCACTGCTCTCAGGCGGAGTTGAAAAGGGAAGGCATGGCCCAACGCTCTGGGCTTGCGGTGCCCAACCAAGCAAACCACGTGAGCCGGGAGCCAGCTCCAGGATGAGGTAATCTGCCCGTCCTCCCCCGCGCCAGAGCCTGGCTTCGAGCAGGGTGACTCAAAGGTGCTCCTGGCCGGTGGCAGCGCCACAAGCCCTGGCACTGCCCCGAGCCAGCAGCTCGCGTCGTGGGAAGGTCCGGGCTGGCTCCAGCCATGGGGCAAGGAGAGACACTGCTCTCCCGCAGGGAGAGCGCACGGAGCGACATGCTGGGCAGATACCCTGACCCCACTGGTGCAGACCCTCTGCACCACCGTCAGCGTCGGGAACTGGCCATGTTTCCCCAGGATAAATATCTTAGTAGTGGGGGAACTGGGCACGGTTCTGGGAGCTGAGGAGCATTTGAGTCTCCTCTCTCCCTCCTCCAGCCATCATCAACATCTGCCTGGCTGCAGAGATGCCCCCACGGCAGCAGGGAGCCCCCGTGGGACACCGGCACAGCTGGGCTGTGCCAACCCACCGGCTGGCTCCAAGGCGGGGAACACGTCCCTGGCCACCAACGGCTGATTTCCCTCGCCCTGCTGCTCCCAGCCGCCCCGGCACTGACACCGTGCTGCAGCCCCGGCTGATGGCACTGGCCATGGCACCAGGGCTGCACTGGGGCAGCCCCATGGCACCCAGGCCCAAGGAGCCCTGGCCAGGTCTGCCCAGCCCCATGGAGCCACAGCCCCAGAGGAACCCCTCCGAAACTGAAGTCTCCTGGAATGAAAGTTTATTTATCTGTTTAATTAAGATGTGTTCACCAGGCGCACAGACCCCATTCCATCTGTCTCACTTACAGCCGCGTCCCAGTAAAATTAAACCTAATAAATATCAGACGAGGGAAAGCAAAGGGCACATGTAAGATATATGATCAAAGGCAGAAGTTGCACAGGGCTGCAGTTCTAAGCACATCTTTCTCTCTGCCCTTCGGGGATGGGTTGGCGATGCGCTCCCATGCACAGGATGGGGCTGGCTTTCCTTCAAATCAGCACTATTTTCATTTTTTATTTATTTTAAATGAACCCTTGAGGGCTCCTTGGTTTTGTTTTCTGGAAGAGGGAGAACAACATGGCACTGGGACAGGAGTGGCCTCGGCCGCTGGTCTGGAGCCGAGCGAGGTGCCGGAGCTGAGGGGCAGAGACTGCGCTGGGAGAGCTGATGGGCGTGTGCCCCCTGAACAGCCGAGGGAACCCGCCGGGGAAAGCGCGACCCTTCAGGCTGCTCCCAGGCAGCTGGGATGAACCGGCCACGTGTGGTCGGGAGCTGGCCCAGTGGCAGAGACTTGCCAGGAGGTGCCCAAGGTGGCCAGTGCGGCGCTGCTGGCTTCCGCTCCCGGGGAGATGTCAGAACTGCCGGGCTCTCAGCTCCCCTCTGAGGCATGCTTGCCTCCACCATTTGGAAACTGTATCTGACAGAAACGGGGGCTCTGAGGTCTGCCTGGAGCCCTGGCCAGGGCTCTGCCCCGGAGCCTGCCTGAGTGCGTGGTGCTGTGCAGACCGGCTGCAGCTGCAGCACGTACCACGCATCCAGGTGCCGAGGGGCCCCCGCGCATGTTGCACCAAGCCCCTGAGCAAACATCAGACCTACTGCCTGCCGAGAGCTGCCCCAAATGCCACATCCAGCCCCTCAACCCACCCCTGCACGGGATGCAACAGGAAATCCCAGACCCCAGAGCTGCAGTCCTCACTGGGACAACATCCCACCTCCCGGCAGAGAGGGATGACGCGGTGGCCCACGGATCTGCCAGGGATGCACCAAAGGGACGCAATGCACAACCATGGGTGGGCTGCAGGTGTCTGGTGTTTAACAGGACACCTGTGGCACCCCCCAGCACGCTCCCGCAGTGCAAAGCCGGGGCACGAGCCTGGACGTTGCTGCTTGGGAGAGCTGCCAAGAGGGGCCACAGGTCAGGCCGAGGTGCAGCCGCCACCGTGAGGACCGGCAAGGTCGGGTACTCCCAGCCTCCACGGGGTCAGCCTGCGAGTGCAGCGCCAGCAGCCCCGCAGCACCCAGGGAGCGGGGCACCCATCTAGTCCTCTCCTCCCACCCACTCCAGAATGCCCCCAAGCCATGGCATTCATTAATTAAAAGCTCATTAGTAGTTAGTCATAGACATAAAGCGATTAGATGAAGGCGCTGACGGATCTGAGCTGCCATGAAGTCAGGGGAAGGTCCCGTGTGCCCCGTTGGCTCGGCTGCAGAGAGTAACCCAACGCTGGGCACAGACCAGGACAGTGAGTAGGGACCGACAGAGGTGACGGGCGAGAGCACCACGTGCCAGCGGGCTCTGCCCCGCTGCAGAGAGGTCCCTGCCCACTGTGCCGGCACCTCCATGCCTTCGCTGTGCTGCTGCTCCCTCTGCCCGAGCTCCCCCTGGGCTCTCCTGGCCCCTCTGCGCAGGGGCAGCATCAGGATTTACTGGGACTGGACTGGGATGGGGATGCCTCTCCCAGAGTGTGACGGGCACCAAGAAGCACGGGAGGAGTGGGGGGCTGTGGGGGCTGTGCAGGCTCCCAGGCAGGGGTCCCCCGACCGCCGGACCTGCTGGCACAGAGCACCCAGCACTGGCAACAGCACAAACCAAAGCGCTTCCTCCTGCCACCAGCATCGCCAGTCCCAGCCATGCTGCAGCTCCCAGCCCGGCCGGCTCAGCTCACACCGTCCCAGCACCACGTGCTGCCCCGAATCCCCACACACTCCCCCATCTCTGCAGACAGCTGTGCAGCCGCCTATAGATTTCTGGTTTCTTGCTCCATCTCTAAAAGACAGATGTGGTTTAAACTAACCGCAGGCGTATTGGAACCTGATATGGCTGTTATGGACCAGCTCTGCCAGGGCACAGGGACCCCCAGGGAGCTTGGGTGGGATGCTGGGGAGGATGCCCCGGCTCCCCATGGTCGCCTGGCCGAGCCTCCTCTGCACCCAGTTAAACTTCCTCCCCCTCTTCCCCTGGCTTCTTCCTCCTCCTCCTCCTCTGACGGCTCTGTGTGTCACTGGAGCGCCCCCCTGCTCTGAACTTCCAAAGAAGCTGGAGATTGTACAGAAAACCTCCGCTCTGTGCCTTCCCAGCACCCTTGCTGCTGCTGACCCAGATCCTGCCTCTGCCCCAGGCTGCTGCCCTCCCTGCCTGCCACAGCGGCCATGAGGTCACAGATCCCAGGCAGGGGCAGTGATGTCACCAGCACCCGCGTATGACCTCACCAGGTGAGGAGGGGACCGTGACCAACACATGGCAAGTATCTGGGACAGCAGCTGTGGCAGCCGGGAGGGGAGCAGAAATGCAGAGAAAGCACATGAAAGTTTAATGGGATCTAGGGAAAAACACCACCTCACTGAAACTTCCCTCACCCCCGCTGAGGAGAGGGGATGGGACGGGGGCCTGGAGACACTTTGACGTCCGGCCTCAGCTGCCAGCGCTGTGCGGAGCAGGAGAGCAGCTGGGCCAGCACCCGGGGATGTCCCACTGCCCCTCATGCCATCCCTCCTCTGCCCTTCAGCCAACACGGGAAGAGTCGGGACCCTCGGTGCTCTCCACAAAACAGAGCCTGGGTTGCAGCCGCCCCACGAGATGCGCGAGCAGGGAAGCTGGTGTCCCCCCGTCATCCCACACGAGCAAACGGTGCACAGGCACCTCCCGGCAGCCAGCCACGTCCGAGCTCTGGGCTCACTGCGGGACACACGGCAGCTCCCATGAGGACACGGTTTACACCTGTGGTTGGGCAGGACAAGCAGGAGCTTGTCACCGCAGTGGCGAGAGAGCCCGGCTTCTTGCCTTCAGTCAGCGCGTCCTTTCCTAGAGCCCTTTCACTTGACAAAATATTTACATGAAATG